TTTGCTTATTTATTCACCAGATGAAAAGCATTTTGGTGGATTCAAGTTGTTTTCAGTTTTTAGTCATTGCCATTTGCCTTTTACAAAGTTTTCTTTCAATTTCTTTTACTTTTTTTTTTTTTTTTTTTTGAGATGGAGTCTCGATCTTGCCTAGGCTGGAATGTAGTGGCACAATCTTGGCTTACTACAACCTCCGTCTCCTAGGTTCAAGTGATTCTTGTGCCTTAGCCTCCTGAGTAGCTGGGATTATAGATGCATACCACCACACCTAGCTAATTTTTGTATTTTCAGTAGAGAAGGAGTTTTGCCAGATTGGCTAGGCTGGTTTCGAACTCCTGACCTCAGGTGATCCACTGGCCTTGGCCTCCCAAAGTGCTGGGGTAACAGGTGTGAGCCACTGTGCTGAGCCTCATTTTTTTTTCATCTGGTCTTCACAGCAACATATGAAATAGATATTTACTATTGTGCAGATGAGGAAGCTGAGGCTCTGGAAGGGAGTGTTAGTGACTTGGCCAAGTTCACAGCTAGTAAATGGAAAAGCTAGGATTCCAACAGTTTCTCGGACTCCAAAGCCCATGTTCTTCCCACAACTTGATGCTACAAAGAAACAAAGGGGCAAGAGGGTGCATATTTTGTGTCATTCTGAATTTAGAGGAGATAAAAGTCACTAAAAGTAAAATTCACTAGGGACAGCAGTCCTAACACTTTTTTTGGAAGACACTCCTCCATGGTCTCTCATGTTCCTATATGTCTTGCTGGACATGCTAAGAATGTGAGATCTTGATGACTCTTTATCTGGGCTCAGAATTGATTTGTAGCCAGCCATTTTATGGGTTGAGGTAATCTGGGACAAACAGCAACCTTGCTTTTGCTTACTATAAAAGCAGAAGGTTCTGCCGTGCGTGATGGCTCATGCCTGTAATCCTAGCACTTTGGGAGGCCGAGGCAGGTGAATCACCGGAGGTCAGGAGTTTGAGACCAACCTGGCCAAGATGATGAAACTCTGTCTCTACTAAAAATACAAAAAATTAGCTGGGCTTAGTAATCCCAGCTACTCAGGAGGCTGAAGCAGGAGAATTGCTTGAACACAGGAGGCGGAGGTTGCGGTGAGCCAAGATTGCACCATTGCACCCCAGCCTATGCAACAAGAGTGAAACTCTGTCTACAAATAAAAAAAAAAAAAAAAAAAAAAGCAGAGTCTTCAAGCTAAGCCTTCCTCTCTAACGCAACCCATTACAGGTGCAGGCATCAATCTGGGATCTTTCTGTCACTCCATGAGATCTGGGGGCAAGGTGAATTGATGTAAATATGCTCATTCAGGTTGCTGTGTTGTAATAAAGTCCTTTGTTTGATCCAGGAGTCTTCTGTATTCTGCTATTAATAGCATCCATAAAACAGTAATAGGCTAACTTATTAGATGGTAGATAGAATCAAATGACATCTCAGATCCAAAAGTTTGTATCTAAAGTTTCAGTAGTCCCTGGAAAACTTGGAAAAGGAAGGTGTAAGAGCAATCATAAAATAAGAAGAAGAAAAAAAGGACACATATTGATCTTTAAATTAGTTAACTTTTTTTTTTTGTATGTGTTTGTCTAAACTGTTTCTTCAACTCTTTAGTTCTGGAAAGAAGCCCTGGTTTTAGGGTTTAAAACTCCAAACTGCCCCTTGGTGTTGCTCTGCTTCACTGCATGTTAAATTCTAGAAAACTAACTTCTCATGTGTTGGTGGATACCATTTCATTGGACTTTAGTGTTGCCGTGATCAGACATGTTGAGAGCCTGGTTTGCTGTGATTCCAGACAGAGCTTCCCAATCGGGTAGTTCCATGCTGAGGTCACTCTGCTTGGTAATTCATGAACTATAACAATACAGAAGTGGAAAGAGTATTAGAGCTTCCTCTGTTTAATGTCTTTATTATATAAGTAACCAGACTTCTGGCGAAGAGTAACTTGACCAAAATGGCAGAGCAAGAATATCTGGCCTGGAGCAGAACCCCATTGTCTACTTCACCACTCTGGTTCAAATCTACTTGTCCAGAACTATTATCAAGACACAGCAATCATGGGATACTGACTTACATTAACCAAGCTCAAGTCCAGTAGGTAAGCCAGAATCCAATTCACCTACAATGGGAGGTGGATAGCTATCTAAAGTCAGGATAGCTAAAGTCAGGTGTCAGGTCTTTTCAGGAGCAAGTCTTCCCAGACTTAAGCTTAAGTCATAAATCAAGCGGTTGCTTGGTGGACACAGAATTGGAATACATTTAAATGTAAATGTTTATTATCTAGTCACACAACCATCAAACTAGATTAGCCATATGGATTTAGTTTACTAGTTAAGAAACTGAGTTGGAGGTTTAGAATTCACTCATATTTCTTGACCCCCTACTTTGTGCCACGTACCTAATGGTTCTGGACCTGAGGATAGTGTCTTCTGGACAAGTGCTTTATAAAGACATATTTATTATCCAAATACTTATTTTACTTAGTCATCTAAGTACCACCACTTCATTCTCAAAGAAAGAAATGTATACTTTTAGGAGCTTTATATTTTCTCTCTTTATCCTCATCATAAATCTGTACAGTAGATAATAAATAATTATCCTATTTTATAGTTGAAGAACTTGAGACTTAAAGGGGTAGAATAGCATATATTAAGCTACACAATTAACAGGTGTCAGGCCTAGTACCTACCTTGCTCAAGTAACTTTGCTTTCCAGTATGCCTTTTTTTTTTTTTGAGACGGAGTTTCGCTCTTGTGACCCAGGCTGGAGTGCAATGGTGCAATCTCGGCTCACCGCAACCTCCGCCTCCTGGGTTCAGGCAATTCTCCTGCCTCAGCCTCCCGAGTAGCTGGGATTACAGGCATGCGCCACCATGCCCAGCTAAGTTTTGTATTTATAGTAGAGACGGGGTTTCACCATGTTGACCAGGATGGTCTCGATCTCTTGACCTCATGATCCACCCGCCTCGGCCTCCCAAAATGCTGGGATTACAGGCGTGAGCCACCGCGCCCAGCCCCAGTATGCCTTTTAACTCACATATTTCTTAAAACTGAGTTTACCACATGCCAAATGTGGCATGTGAAGGTCTTTCTTTTGTGATTCTATATTGCCACTTCTACGATTTGGAAAAGGGTCTAATCTCATCTACAAATCTGTTCAGTGAACAAATTATTGAGCACCAACCAAGTGCAAAGCTTACTACATGCAAAGCACTGAGCCAGTCTCTGAAGAGGAAACAAAGATGAAAAAGATAAGATCCTTGTATTCTTGGAGCTTACAAACTTGTGGAGAATGTATCTCTCTCTCTCTCTCTCTCTCACACACACACACACACACAATCTGGAAGTATTGTGTGTGTGACTAGAAGTACAAACAGTATGCTATGGGAACAGAGGGAAGAGAAAGAAATTCTAGATAGCATGATTTGATTTGGGAAGGCTCTTTGAAAAACGTAGTTGAAATTTGAGGGTAAGATTTTGCCAGGAAGAGATAAGCAAAAAGAATTCAAAAGTAAGGCAGCCTCAGCAAAGACCTGAAGGCAAGAGAGTGCTGGTATCAAGTACATCTGAAGATAGGAGGTACTGGTGATGTTGTGGGAAATTATGAGAGAAAGGCAGAGAGAATTTAAATCCTAAAGGGGTTTTATGTGAATTAGAGAACTCAGAACTTAATGCTATGTGTTAAGAAGGTCTTTCAAGGGACTTGGGGCAGGGGAGAAATACGATCGTCTTAAGATAATGCTTATTGCCTTTTATGGCTTTATCATTGAATCTCTACTTCTTTGCATAGTGCATGACACTTGCTGGGTGCGAAGACATAAGTTAAATGAATGGACTGAAAAAGGAATAGATGGGGGTTATCAGGTTATCATTATTGTTTAAGAAGAAGGCAGATGTAATCAACACAGCAGAGGGGAAATGTCTTTGATAGTTGGATTTGGACATCTGGAAAAGAAGGAAGGCTGACTTTGCCTCTGATCCATGAGGAAGGTGGTGATATTGGCAACAGGCGCCCAGAGGGCAGAATAGATAGATGGTCTGGGCAGAATGGAAATAAGATGCTCAGTTCTGTTTTGGATTATGTCGCATTTGAAGTTCTGGAAGAATAGTGAAAACAGATTTTCAGCTCTAGAGCATTCATGAACCAGCTTTTCTTTGAGAAAGGATCATTGTCATATGCCTAATTTCATCCATTGTTTTATACAGATTTGAGTTAATTTCATTTTAATATTTTCCTTGCATTGCCTTAAAATGGTAGGGAACTGCCTTATTTGGGAGGTTACCTTATGCAAGAACGACTCTAAGGAGGAAGTGAAAGGAAAAGTGCCTTAAAGGAAATAAGTGGTTGGAGGTGATCTTAAGATTTTCATGCAGTGAAGCTGGGCAAACCTTTCCAACCCAGTTAATCGGAGTATGGATGGAGAAACAATTTTAAAGGACCGTCCCTGTACCCTACTTAGAAATCAGGCAGTAATAGAAAAATATGCATATACAGGAACTACTTGTAATCGAAAAAATAAGCAATAAGCCCTGTAACGAGAGGTGATGTACCACTTTATTGAGCACTCTTCTGATTGAGGCTTTTACACTGCTGGAACTTTTGCAATTGAAATTTTTGGAGCCCTACTGATAGTGTGCACTATACGGCCTTCATTCGTCCATCCCTGCGCTATTCTGAGCCACGTTACATCCTGAGGCAGAAAGTTTATCAGTCTGAGATGATGTTTTCCCTTTCTTTTCCTTTTCTTCGTGAATGATTTCCTCGCGCCACCAGAGTGCAGTTATCCTAACTTGTCCGCTTCTGCAGTCGTTTAACGCCTGTCCCGCACAGGCTGGAGCTGTATCAGCCCTCACATTCCCAGTTCCCGCTCGCCAACCCCTGCTGGGCGGGGAACGGGTGTCCCTGGGACCGTTGGAACTAACGCCAACGGTCCCTCCGGCTCGGTAAGCGCGCGCAGGGGCGGCCGGGAGGCGCGCGGAAGCTGGGGGCGGAGGCGGGAGAGGGCGTAGAGGGGCGCCAGTGGGCGGCAGGCGCGGGACCAGCACGGAGCCGGGCGGGAGGAACCGCGGGCCGGAAGGGCGCGCAAACCTGCCTTTGGAGCTGGGGATGGGGAGCTCTCAGGTTTGCATTGCTCGTGTTGAATACAGTGAATTAGAAAAAGCAAGTTGCAGAATGATAAGTATAATGAGATCTTATTTATGGGGGAAGATCCAAAGGGCCGGACTCTGTGTGTGCACGTGCAAATGCGTTGAAAAGGGTCTGACGAAGCTGGGGAGGAGGGTAGGAGGCGGTTGGGAGAGCGGATTGAAGGGAGTGTACTTAGTATATTACACATTCAGTGCATGTGCCGCTGAAGCGAGCACATGTACACGGCATATTTGTGAGAAATTTAACATTCTTGATGTTTAGAATCAAGTGTAATTGGAAAGAAAAAAAAAAAAAAAAAGAGATCGCATCTGGGAAGCTTGAATATCCTCTTGCTTCCCATTCATAGGGACCTGCTCAGATTCTCAGAGCACCGGCGATTTTGAGAGTTAAGGGAAGGTTTTCCAAATTCTTTCTCTCCCTTCCTTCACTGCTTCACCTCCGCTCCCGTCGGCTTTCTTCAAAATCCTTCGAATTGGCCTTTTTCGAGGAGTCTTCCTCACAGCCCTTCTCATTGTCACATCGTCCCTGCAAAACCCATGCTCAAAGAGGAAACATTGTAAAGATAGTAAAGCTACTCGCAGGCACATAAATATTGGAATTAGATATTGTTCCTAAACCATTTTTTATACAAATTAAAGTGTTTACAGGATATTTCAGTTTTCCCCTAAACGGTTGTACCAAAGTGCTTTTATTAGAATGACCACATGATGTTAAATATTTTTTCATTTTGAAATAATTCCAGACTTAGAAAAAAGTTACAAAAATTGTACAGATAATTCCATTATATCCTTCACTCAGCTTTCACAAATCTTAACATTTTACACAACCACAATACAATAATCATAACTAGGAAATCAGCATTGCTACTCTATTAAACTAATCTGCAGATATGGATAAATTCACATTTCTACAATTATCTAACCGAAATTTTCTTTCTTCTGGTCCAGGATTCAATCCAGAACCTCACAATGCATTTAGTTGGCACGTCGTGTTTCTTTAAATCTGTGACAGTTTCTTAGTCTTTCTTTATTCATGACCATGATACTTTTGAAGAGTACTGGCCAGTTTTGTGGATTGTCTTTTAATTTGTGTGTGTCTAGTATTTTCTCACTGTTAGGGTTATCCATTTTGTGGGTCAAGAATATCACAAAAGTGATGTGCCCTTCTTGGTGCACCGTATCAGGAAGCACAGTATGTCAACATGTCTCATTAATGGGAATGCTAACTTTGATCACTTGGTTAAGGTGGTCTCTGCCAGTTTTGGTCAATGAAAACTTGTGATTTTAATTTTTGTGTTTAATTATAGGGGGAAATGTTCTCATTATATGCAAGATGATTTTAGTATTCTTGACAGTTATTACTGTAGTATTTGCTAAATGGCAAGTTTCTGAGGTTAAATTTTAATCTGAATATTCGACTGCATAATAACTTCCTAAAGAGATTTGACTAATACTTTTCTACATTACACTAGTGAACAAAAGGCAGTTAGAGGTTGTGTATAGGTATACTGTGGAATTAGTGGCCAGAATGGAATTTATAAATGTATTTTTTAATAGATAACTGCATTATAAATGAATAATTCACTATTCTTATACTTGTAAAAAATTGGATTCTAAAAATCCCAATTTACATGGATTTATGAGCTCATTAATCGAATTGCTTTTATTCTGTGTTTATACAAAATAAGCAAATGTAAACTGTATTTAAAAATAGAACAAAGATAAAATGTCCTTCCTATTATTTCCAAAATACTTCGAGTTTTAGTCGGCATTTGCAAGACCGATACTTAAATTAACAATACATCTGACTCTCATCCAATAATAGTTTACTTTTATTTCTCTTAATGTTTGCTGAAAGGATTTACTGGAATTCGGAATGAGTTCTCCACTGCAAGGAAAGTAGACTTCTTCTGGGTGAAACTTAGAGATCTTTTAATCCCCTAGTTATTTGACTGTCACACATTTTCATAAACGTCATTTGAAGATTAAATTACCCCTACCGGCATTATTATTGTACATAGAAAACTGGTCTAAGATTGGGTTTTATCGCCATTTTTCCTGCTTTCAGTATGAAGGAAAACAGGGGAGTGAGTTTTGTTTTTTTAAATTTTTTTATTACCTACCCTTTTGAGTATCTGATATCTATGAACTGTTTCCCCAGAAAAATACACAAGCTCACATATTGCCTCAGAGTAAAATGCAATCCAATGTTAAAAATGGTTGGGGGATTAGAAAGGGAGGGACAAACTGGCTGCCAGGCTGTTAGACACTTCTCAGACGCAGTTTCCCCTCCTGCCATATGGCACAGCTCGGCTCTCTTGGCAGCTCAGATGGGCAGCTAAGGCTGCACAGCTCATCTGGCTCCCTGTCATTTCCCGCCCGACCTCTTTCTCAACCCTCAATATCTTCCTCTCCCCCTTTATCACGGAGTCCCCAGTGTGCTCAGCTTTCTGGCCCCTTCTTCACGCCTTTTGAGGTCCTGCCTGTCATTGGTTCTTTCACTACCTCTTCACCTCTCTCACCGACCTCCTGCTTAGGAACAGAGCTCAGAAGCCCGAGTGAGAGGACCTGACCACTTCCCAATGTATAGAGCAGGGAATAATTTATTGCATAAATATGTTAACGCTTTTTCGAGCGGCATAGAAATCTTGCCACTTTTCCTTGCCTGTTTGAAAACGAAGAACTGATGAAGACGCCTCAAATCAATAGCTGACACAGCGATTACCAACGGACAGAAGCCAGAGAGCTGTGCACCCTTCGATCCTGCAAAGGCAGGGTGGGGTTAGAGAAAGAAAAGTGGGAGCCAAGGAACGGGGATCAGGGCTGTTATGAGGAAATACTCTTGTTTCTGAAAATGGAAAGATCGTGAACTCCCAGAACCCGCTTCTTCGCCCGCCAACCTCTCAGCCTCCTGCCGCGGCGGCAGTCCCGGGCGCCAGGCCCAGCCGCAGGCCCGCCAAGGCTCGCGGCAAAGCTTGGCGCCCCCTAGCGCGCCTCCGCCGGAGGCGGCTGTGGGGCGGGCCCCTGAGCGGGCCGGCAGGGGCGGGGCCGCGGCGCGCGCCGGGGAAATCCCTCCCGGGCCCTGACGTCACCGCGGCGCCGGCCAATAAGAAGCCGGAGGGGGGATTCCCGCGTCAGCTGCCGCCCTGCTGCCTTTTTAAATGGTATTGTGGGGAACACCGAGCAGCAGCGGTGACAGGAGTGGGGAACATGGAGGAGGTAGTGAAATAGAATAGTCCTGAGGGACGAGACTCCAGGGCTTTGACAATAGGACGTCAAGACTAGCTTAGACCTGGGAAGAAAACCAGAGGCGGTCGAGGAGAGGCCAAACGCCAGGCAGGGGGAAGTCAGCCGGAAATGGAGTGGAAGCTGGAGCGCACCGCGCCTCGGAGGGTCCGCACCGAAGAGGAGGTGCTGTGGGTGAGTAACGTCCTTTTCTGCGTTCGCCCTAACTCTCTAACGCGGCTTCTTGCCGAAGGCTCCGTTCGTAATATCTGTTTAGGACCAAGAGATGGTACGAAACTCTAAATCCTGGTAGTAAAATTGAGTGGTGTAATTTATTATTCTGAAGGTGCCTAGTTGCTTAAAAAAAAAAGTGAGTGTAATTTGACAAGCACAGGATCTAGAAAAATTCCACGCCTTAAATTATGATTTTCCTAAATAGTTTCTCTCTTAATATGTTATCTGTGTTTTAAAAGGAAAGTATCATGCGTGTGCTCGCCAAAGACTTGAAGCAGAAGAGAAGTCAGGGCTCCGCCAAGGTGAGTGTCTAGAGATTGTTCTTGTTCTCTGTTTTAATTCTGATCTTGAACAAACTAATTCTTGCTAAAGAATATATTTGTAGGAAGTATGAGCTGGTCTGAAAATATGAGAATTATAAACAATCTCTTAAGTACGGTATCTTATTACATACTTAAAAACATTCTTTATGAAAATCAAGATCCCGGACAAATAATGGTAATCATTTGCATCTGAATCGTTCTTTCTAGTTTTTGCCTCCACAGCAAAGGATAAAGCTGGGATGTGTCAGGTAGGCAGTGTATTGCTAGCGGCTGTTAATAATTTTAACAGTTGCTGGTTGCACTCCCTTCTGTTGCATTCAGAGAAGCACGCCCCCCAAAGAAATGGAAATGGTGCCATCTTGTGGACGTGTGGAGAAGTGGCATAAACCACGGTTTTTAACGTGAGCAATTTGAAGTTGATCCGATGTTGTACCTGTTCTCCTTGAAAGACCAAACCCAAAGGTCTTTATTGTCTCTTGTAATCAGTGTAAAAGGAAACAAATTTAAATGGTTTTGAAAACGTTTCTCATAAACAACTTTCATCTTCTTTAAATCTCTGGCACCATATACCATACTTCTCTCTAGGCTCAATAGTTCCTCCTCCCTTGACCTGTACTCACAGATTCTAGTTTCAAATCCATCACCATTTGAACAGATTTTTCTAGCTCTTATATACATGTTTCAACTGGGCATCATGGCTCATGCCTGTAATTCCAGCACTTTGGGAGGCTGAGGCAGGAGGATCACTTGAGGCCAGGACTTCTAGATCAGCCTGGGCAACATAGAGAGAACTTGTCTTTACAAAAAAACTACAAAAATTAGCTAGGCATGATGGCATGTGCCTATAGTCCCAGCTACTTGGGAGGCTGAGGCAGGAGGATCGCTTGATCCCAGGAGTTCAAAGCTGCAATGAGCTATGATTGCATGACTGCACTCCAGTCTGGAGGACAGAGCCAGACCCTGTCCCTTAAAAAAAAAAAATCTGTACTCAAGTGGTAACATAAATTGAATACATAATTGCATTTTCAGAACTCAATCACTAATGTCATTTCTAGTAGGAGAAAACTAATTACATTTAAACCCTTACATTTCTTAAATACTTTAATGTTAATTTTCCCCCTAAACACTGCTACAGTTTTGTGTCATGCCCAGCTTATGTATTATCTCAACTCCTATTTTACTGCTTAATTGAAACAACTAATCTTTTGATCAGTAAATAGAAGTGATTTGAAAAGCTATAGTTAAGTAACTCTTTATTTTTTTTTTTGAGACAGAGTCTTGCTCTGTTGCCCAGGCTGCAGTGCAGTGGTGCAATCTCAGTTCACTGCAACCTCTGCCTCCCATATTCAAGCAATTCTTGTGACTCAGCCTCCTGAGTAGCTGTAATTATAGGCAGCACCACCACACCCGGATAATTTTTGTATTTTTACTAAAGATGGGGTTTCACCATGTTGCTCAGGCTGGTCTTGAACTTGTAACCTCTGAGGATCAGCCTCCCTTCGCCTCCTAAAGTACTGGGATTACAGGTGTGAGCTGCTGTGCCTGGCCTACAGTTAGGTAACTTTTAACATTTGTACTGCAGTAACATATCTTCATTATCCAAACATTTAATTTGGAAAACCTAAGTGTAAGTGTTTTGAAAGTTTTAAAGTTTTTGTTCGTTTCACTTTTTTTTTTGACTAAATTCATGCAAATATTGATGTTATTTCTTATAGCCTTGAAGTAACATGTTTTGTCTATGAGTTTTCTTTAATGTGACTATTAAGATTAGAGTTCTGCCACTGTGTTTCATGTTATGCACTTAGCCTCACAAACTTCCTGGGCCACGAGAATCCACAATGACCTGAATCAGGTAGGCAGTGTGTTGTTAGCTGGCTGCTTAGGTCAAGTCAGCAGCCACAACTACCCTGCCACTTGCATCTGGATAAATTCCTCTTGTCAGTGAAATGCAGTGGCTACCTGTGTGTGATGAGCTGGCAGTGTATTGTTAGCTGGTTGAATATGTGAATGGCATCAGCTAACATGCAACTGCTGTCTTATTGCATATACTATGAACATCAGCGTGTAACTGAATCTGTAATTAGTATGTGTTTATGTGTACTTTCTGCTATTGAGCAAGGCACTTTTTACCATAATATATTATTACCATAACTTATAATACAGTTATAATACAATGGACAGCTTTATAATGGTAAGGAAAGTACTACAATTAATTACTTAAGATTTTTTTCCTTTAAAGAGCAATTGACTTATGTTTGCTTTACCATCACTAAAAAATTTTAAGAAATATTTTTGGAGTCTTTTGGAGCAGACAGTGTTAAAGTATTTGTGAAACTATGTATTTTTAACTATAAGGTTTAGAGTGCAATAACAATGTGGAATAGATGTACAGTGTGTCCCCAAATTTTCAGTGATGTCTTTGGGATTCTTTCCGCATCATCAGTTTCTGCTATGGCATTAGAGTCGCTTTCTTTCTGCATCATCAGTTTCTGAATATGGCATTAGAGTCAATTTCTCTAACTGTGACTGTGTGTGTCAGCTGAAGGGAAAGCTGAGGTAATTTTCCAGATGAGTCAGTCAACTAAAACATTTTCACTTGAAATATCAAGAATATTGAGGATTATTTTCTGGGTGGGCGACGGTTTAATTTTTTTGGAAGATTTGCCTCAATCCTTTCACTTCATTTTCTGTAAAATCACAGGTTCATGAAATACCTGGAAGAGAGCACGAGATCTAACTGGTGAAGTGGGAAGAACTAACCATACAAAATAACTTTAAATATTTTCTCATTCCCTTGGAGGCATTTTGACTCATGAAGCAGCATCTGATATGTGCTGGCTTCCAGACAAGCAGTATTCTTATGCGGACATTTACAGCCAGTTAGTGGAACTGACTTTGGTGGTGCCATCAGTTAGTTATGCCATAGATGAGATATGAGAAATATTTCCCAATCTTTATTGTGCTGGATTCTAAGTTAATGGTAAAATAACTTTTATGCTTTCCTTATTTAAGTTTAAATGTATTTCTAGAACATGGGTTGAATAGATACGTATAGTTTGATTCTTACGCATTTTACTACTTTCAGATTGCATCCTCTTTTTGTTATTTCACTTTCAGGAGATTTATGTTTAAGTATATCTTTCATGTAAGTATTGTTTTCATCTTGTCATTTTTTAAGGTTAAATTTCAACATGTTATTTTCTACAGAGAATCATTGACCTGGTGATAAAAATAAAACCTACTAAGTTTAGAAGGCTTGGCCTTTGTGTTTTAGTTTTTTTAAATTAAAGAGCAAGACATAAAATGCCAACTTTATTTTATTTTAGATCTGGGGGCACATATGCAGGTTTGTGACATGAATATATTGGGTGATGCTGGGGTTTGGGCTTCTAGTGAACTCATTACCCAAATAGTGAACATTGTACCCAACAGATAGTTTTTCGGTCCTTGTGTTCCCTCCTCCCTTCCCCTTCTGGAGTCTCCAGTGTCTGCTGTTTCCATCATGTCCATGTACATCCATTATTTAGCTCCCACTTAGAAGTGAGAACATACAGTATTTGATTTTCTGTTTCTGAAAATGCCAACTTAAAAAATTTCAAAACTTTTTCTTTTTTAGAACTGTTGATTCCGTAGGGAAACCAACCTCATATTTAATAAACAGAAGACATTTAAAGCTGTGGTTTAGTCCCATATTATTGAGATGATGAGAAAGGAGGCAAGGAATGGAATGAAATAAAAAATACGTTAAAGCGATAAAAAATGTTAAAGAGATGAATGGGTTAGGAGGAAAGTGAAGATACAAATTAAAAGAGAAAATGTTTCCATAGGAGGGAGAGGGAAAGAAAGTGCTACACGCTGGGATGTCAGGGGCAAGCAGAAGGAAAAGGGATTGGAAAAAGAAGGGAGGCTCTGTTGATGGCAAAGTATTTTCTCCCAGGTGTTTTCTTTTGGGGCAGTCTCTTGGCTGTTCACTGGTGCTGGGAATGTCACTACTTCCCATCGCTGCCCTCTGAACCTGTCACTATTATAGTGATAGCTTCCTAACTTCTCTCCCTTTGCTGCTTTTTATTCCTCTGCAAAGACACTGTGCCACTCTGCAAGGGACAGCTGGATGAGGGGAAGGGAGAGTGGGAAGGAATGTGATGGATTAGTCTCTGGGCATAACAATTACTAGAATTTTGTTCTATGGGAAAGATGAAATGAAGCAGGGTACTAAATATGGACAGAGTGTCCTCATATCAGCTCCATCCAAACATGTAATTTTTCTTTCAAAGGAACACCACAAATCAATGTGGTGCATTCATGGCTACCTGCAGCCTCTACCTTCTGGGCTTAAACAATTCTCTCACTTCAGCATCCTGAGAAGCTGGAACCGCAGGTGTGTGCTACCACACCTGGCTAATTTTTAAATTGTTTTGTAGACACAGGGTCTCACTGTGTTGCCCAGGCTGGAGTTTAGTGGAGCCATCTCGGCTCACTGCAGCGTTGATCTCTTTGTGCTCAAGTGATCCTCCCACCTCAGCCTCCTATGTAGCTGGGACCTCAGGCATGTGCCACCACACCCAGCTAATTTTTTGATATTTTGTAGAGACAGGGTTTTGCCATGTTATCCCAGGCTGGTCTCGAACTCCTGGGCTCAAGTGATCCTCCCACCTCAGCTGCTTGAAGTGCTGGGATTACAGGCCTGAGCCACCATGCCCATCCCCAATTGTCAAATTTTTAGAAATTTTACATCCTAGTTAATAAACCATTGGTAGATTGAAATTGGCTGTGAGGAAGGTGAACATTTACATTTAAACTGGCAAATGCTGTATGTCAGGATTCCTCCTTCAGAGTCTGCTATTAAACATTTATCAGCCACCATTATATATGTGCTAGATACACTGCAGTTATTAAGAATTATGTATGTACATGTATACATATTATTGATACAGTGTAATTATTAAAAATTAAAAAATGAAATACAGCTTTCAGGGCATTTCAGGCAAATTCATATTTATTCCAATGCCGACCACTGTTGTTACATCTGCTGTAAGATGATCAAGAGTAGTATGAAGTAGAAGGATTCCTCTCCAGACACCAAAGAACACAAACAAGGCAAACTTCAAGTCAGTGAATTAGTTACCACAGTTAAAATGCATTTGATTTTGTCCTTTTCCTTTTCACAAGGACAACAGTTGAATACTCTTTTATGTGATGTCTGATATTTTTCTTTTTTTTTTTTTAGACGGAGTCTTTGAGACAGGGTCTCGCTCTGTCACCCAGGCTGGAGTACTGTGGTGTGATCTTGGCTCACTGCAACCTCTGTCTCCCAGGTTCAAGTGATTTTTTTTTTTTTTTTTTTTTTTTAAGAGACGGAATTTCACAATGTGGGCCAGGCTGGTCGTGAACTCCTGACCTGGTGATCTGCCTGCCTTGGCCTCCCAAAGTGCTGGGATTACAGGCGAGAGCTACCACGCCCGGCTGGTTCAAGTGATTCTTTTGTCTCAGCCTCCCAAATAGCTGGGATTACAGGCATGTACCACTATGCCTGGCTAATTTTTGTATTTTAGTAGGGATGAGATTTCACCATGCTGGCCAGAATAGTCTCGAACTCCTGACCTCAGGTGATCTGCCCACCTTAGCCTCCCAAAGTGCTGGGATTACAGGAGTAAGCCATCATGCCTGGCCCGAGTGCTATTTTTCTGTTATAGTCCTTAGTCCAGGCATCCTGTAGCACTCTGTGTCCTAGACTTTTTGATGCAGAAACAAGACTGAAGGAAGATTGTCCAATGCAGGAAAGATTCAACTTTTCCTCAGTGTATGTTTGTCTGTATATGGTAGCAGCACATCAGCAGATGACTCCACTCCCTCTCTCAGGACATATAGCCTCATTGTTATGGAACCCCAAAGGGACATATGAATGTCCTCTCTTTCAAGGCAATACGTATGACAGGCTTTCAAATCCCCATGTGCCTGCTCTGCTTACCTAAAGGGCAAGGGGAGAAAAATCCAGCACTGACATAGAATCTGTAGGTTGAATAAGGCAACTGAGATTAGAGAGATATAAGTGAAGAAACCCACTTTATCTGGCTTTGGAGAGAACTAGTGACTTAAGGGAGGATGTTCATCTGTATCATGTTCCCTGGGACAGTCCTGTTTGTTCCCAGTGCAGCTCCATTATCATTCATCTAGCAGTGGGGAGTCTCCGCTGCCTCTGGCATTTGCAGTTCTGCTCATGCCCCTAACAGGAACACAAAAAGCACCCCTGCAGTGCCACAGTGTGGGGATACAGGGTAGGTGTGCTCTGGCAGCGACCCTTGGAGGGGCCACCTGAACACATGTTTTCTTAGATGCTCAGAATTCAAATTGGTAGTAGGCTCTAGGGGCAAAATTGCAAAGGACAGATAGACTTGTTGGGTGACTTCTGTTTTCTTCTCCAACAATCCAGGTTAGTTCTGATTTCCTCCCTGGTCACTCAAAACACCTTGGTAAGCATGTTCCTTGACTTTCAGAGTGGCAAAGGGCTTTTTATTCCATTTGACCCATGTTCAATTTACAGGTGAGGAAACTGAAATAAGGTACTTAAGTGACTTGCCCAAAGTTGTGCAGCTGGCAAAAGGTAGGAGCAGGCTTGCTGACATACTCATCTGGCATTCTTGAGGCTGTCCCTACAAATCTTCTTGACCTCTGGTAGAAACTCCACCTCTGCCTCCACCAAGTATCATTCTAAGTACGTTCATAGCTGCATGGCTTGATAAGTACTTTGAAGCAGAATATACTTCATAAAATATGTTTGGTTTATCTAAGAACTTGGGTCCAAATACATATACAGAACTATATACTGAGGTAGCATTACTAAAGTTACCATAAGAAACATCTTCACTTTCATCCATTAGGTCAGAATTTGGGAGTCATGTCACAGACTACTTAAATTGGGTCTTTTTCTTTCTTTCTTTTTTTTTTTTTGAGATAGAGTCTTGCTCTGTTGCCTAGGCTGGAGTGCAATGGCACAATCTCGGCTCACTGCAACCTCTGCCTCCAACCTGCATTCAAGCAATTCTCCTGCCTCAGCCTCCCCAGTAGCTGGGATTACAGATGCTCACCACCATTCCTGGATGATTTTTGTATTTTTAGTAGAGACAAGGTTTCGTCATGTTGGCCAGCCTGGTCTTGAACTCCTGACTTCAGGTGATCCACCCACCTTGGCCTCCCAAAGTGCTGGGATTACAGACATGAACCACTGCACCCTGCCCTTTTTCTTTTTACACTAATTTATATCACTATTTTTACATTTTTGGCCATCTTTCTATTTAATTCTTTTATGCAATGAATATATATTTCACGAGGCAGTAATTAATCCTCACCAACTTGGCAGGTTGCTTTGTTAGTCAGTTATAAGGCTAACAAAATATAAAGGTCATGACTCTGGGAGAAAAAGCGTCCCGTGACTCTACTAAGGTTCAGCTACTGCTGATCTACACTTCAGGACTTGTACAATCATTCCTTTTTACATTAGAGTTTAGGCTGTTTTGGAGTTGATTTTTACTATTTCAGCCATCAGAATGATGCAGCACTGAATTCTTTCCAAGTGGCTAATCTAGTTGGAATATGTTAGCAACCCAAATCACCCTATACAGAATCAGGCTAAATGATCTTATACTCATGTCCTTTTTTCTACACTCGGGATTTTCACTCAAAAATAAGGACTGACTCACCTGGTAATATTATAATTACAGAATTTGAGTTCCTTCTAAAAAATAATGAGGAGAGAAATACTGAAAATTATGAAGACTTTTCAAATGTTATAATACTGCATTTATAAATGATTTGGCCAATTATAGTAAAACACTAGGAAACTGTACTTAAAAAGAAAAAAACAAACAAAATCCTGTACACAAAAAAAGCAAACATATGTAAGGACTTGAATCCATGTGTATATATTTTACATTTTTCAACATTTGTGTTTCATTACATTAACATAACCATTTACAGTTAGTTATTCCAGAAATCTCAGTCATATACAGTGCTCTTGAATCCAAACAGTGGTCTAGTGGGTTGGCATTTTCATCAAGCACAGTCCTAGAAAATGTCAAGTTGAACAATAAGATATTGAGGCACATTGGTCACTGTGTATTCTGAATTTTTTTTTGTTTCTGTTTCTTTTTTTGAGACAGAGTCTTGCTCTGTTGCCCAGGCTGGAATGCAGTGGTACAGTCTCAGCTCACTGCAACCTCTGCCTCCTGGGTTCAAGTGATTCTCCTGCCTCAGCATCCCCAGTAGCTGGGATTACAGGTGCCTGCCACCACGCCCAACCAACTTTTGTATTCTTAGTATAGATGAGGTTTTACCATGTTGGCCAGAATGGTGTCGAACTCTTGACCTCATGACCTCCTGCCTTGGCCTCCCAAAGTGCTAGGATTACAGGCATGAGTCACTGTGCCTGGCCTTCTGAATTCTTTAGTATGGTCAGAGGACATATTTAATATATTTCCTGTTGATTCTTTGCTACTCTTGATTTTTGCTTTGGGTAACATCTTTATCCTGGGAGCATTCCTTACCACTTAATAGCAAGATAACATTAAAAAAAAAATCATCCTTCATTGCCACATTTAATAGATAGTTTAAGGAAGCAGAGGTTGTAGTAAGCTGAGATCGCACCACTGCACTCCAGCCTGGGTGACAGCAAGATACTGCCTCCAAAAATGTGTTTAAAATGAGATCAAACACTCTTGGAGACATTTCTCTGTTCTGACTATTAGAAATGCAATGGCATCCTCATAGATCCTCTTTCTTTTTTATGATGAGTTGTCTAACCAGAGCTGCTATGTCAGGCCTGATGACTTCAATGGGTTCCTCTGGCCTCCAGAACTTCACAACTTGACCCTCAGGGTTGACCAGATACTTCCAAAAATTCCACCTTGGTTCCTTCTTTGAAGAATCTAAAATATCCAGAACATATTTTCATGAGCATAATTTATTCTTTGTCAAGGTTTTTACTTCTATTAGTATCTGCACAAATGACAGCTTTAGTATCAAGTTCTAGGACTGTCATAATATCAAAAACAAAACACTCAAACAGAGTGAAACTCAAGGTTAGAGTAACCAGATTTTAATATACTTGATGACTTCACCTGTGAGTCTGCTCACCTAGTATCTGATCTAGTATCATGAAATGAAGCAAAGTTGTAATCCCGAGTTCCTGGGATGATAGGTATGGGCCGCCACATCAGGCAAATTTTTGTATTTTTAGTAGAGATGGAGTTTTGGCATCCCAAAGTGAATAATCATTGTATTTTGAAAAGCAATCAAAGCAATAATTTTATTTTCTTTTTTAGGAGGCAGAGGTTGCAGTGAGCTGAGATCATACCACTGCACTCCAGCCTGGGTGACAGAGTCTTGCTGTGTTGCCCAGGCTGGTCTTGAACTCCTGGGCACTCAAGTGATCCTCCTGCCTTGGCCTCCCAAAGTGCTGGGATTACAGGCATGAGCCACCATGCCCAGTCATGACATCCTTTTGATAAATCTTAATTTATGCAAGAAATGTAGATATTTTTTCTATTTATACCCCTCAAGACTTATGTTCATATTATTGACTAACATATGAAAAAATATAGCAATTATAACTAAAATTTATGAAGTGCTTACTATGTGTCTAGTAATGTATGCTCCATGCTTCAAATTTATCCTCTCATTTAATCTTACAGGGACCCTGTGAGGTGGGTATTACTATTATCCCCATTTTGCAGATGAGATATAAATGGAGGCCTAGACACATGGTTACGTGGCTAGTGAGTGGTAGAGCCAGGAGTGATATCTAGGCCTTTTTACTCCAGAGCTCATGCTCTTAAACTTTGCGCCCTATGATCCTCCCTATCTAAGTTGAATGAAAACTTAAATCACTGTAACCTTTTTGATTACACAGGCTAATAGGGGCTTCAGAAGGCTTAGCCACGTATCTGGCTGCTATAACTGAGGAATCAATGGCATGTGCTTGGGCTTTTCTTTCCTCGGTGTACCCTCAAAATAAAAGGAATAAAGACCTCACTGTAGTTGCCATTTATGGTGTTAGGCATTATATCAACTTTCCCTAGAAATGAAATATAATCTTTCTAGAAGATTCTGACTTCACACTTATGTGAAATATTATAGATCACTATTTGGTTTGTTGGATTAGAAGCTTGATTGCCTGACTCTCAGTTCATAGTTTTATCAAAAGTCAACTTATCTATAGTGAAGATAGGATTGAAGATGTCATCAGAATAAGTTAGATGAGAGAATTTTAGCGAATGTTCTTTATTTCTTTCTTTCTTTATTTTTGAGATGGAGGCTTGCTCTGTTGCCCAGGCTGGAGTGCATTGGCATGATCTTGGCTCACTGCAACCTCCATCTCCCAGGTTCAAGCAATTCTCTTGCCTCAGCCTCCTGAGTAGCTGGGATTACAGGCATCTACCACCATGCCTGGCTAATTTTTGTATTATTCATAGATATGGGGTTTCACCATGTTGGCCAGGCTGGTCTCAAACTCCTAACCTCCAGTGACCTGCCCACCTTGGCCTCTCAAAGTGCTGGGATTACAGGTGTTAGTCACGGTGCCTTGCTTTTTTTTTTTTTTTTTTTTTTTTTTTTTTTGACTAATGTCCTTTAGAACAATGTCTGGCACAGAGCAAGCAGTGTATAATATAAGTACTTTATTTTTACTATTAACACACTTAATTCCGAACAATCTTAGGAAGTCAGTACTATTGATAGCCTTATTTTACAAATGAGAAACAGGCACAGAGAAGTTAAGAAGCCACACAGCAAAAATAACAGAGCAGGGGTTTGAACCCAGGTAGCCTGAGGCCAAGGCCTATGCTGTCACTATGCCTTGTGACCTTTGTGCTATCTGACCTTGGCAAGTCTTTAAACAGATTTCTGTAGCTAGCTTAATTGGAGAGAGAGCCTAATACTACTGCCCTCTGAAAAAATCAAGTTATATGGTTTTTAGATTTTTGCAAAAATCTGGTAAGCTGACATATTTGTCCTTGAGAATATTGTTTCAGGTAAGAAATGCAAGATGAAATTAGCCACAAACATATGTTAACTAATAATGCTCAGCGGTATTCATGAGAGCTGAGTGGCTTTAATGATGGGAAGGGACATTTCCCCAGATGCTAGTTACATGAGAGGAGAATTAAGATATTTTGTGAAAATTGCCATGGGCACACTTTAAGTAAATTCTTCAGGAAGATGGTCTTAAGGAGTAAAATACATTGGAATAGAATTTGTTTGCCATCTAAGAAGCTAAAACATTTATTTCAGGGGAGCATAACTTCTAGAAGTTACAAAGGATGAGATTCTGGCTTTTTGGTGGTTTTATGAAGCTTTCCCAATACAATGTTTCAAATGAAATCGGAAAGTATAGTCCTGGTATAATTGTTTAAAAGTGAAAAGCAATTTAAAACATCATACTAGTGAGGCAAGGCAGATATTTACCAACAAGAAATCTAAATGCAGGTTCTCCTTCAGATCCTAGAATCTTAATCTTGTGGAAGATGGGGAATGTTACTCCGTAGTTTTTTCTTGCAAAAGATTCTACTTCCTTGCTTGGGCGGGGCTCCGATTCTCCAAACTGATTGCACGGGAAAGCCAACACGCTGAAATGGGATGGTCCGAACTCTTTGTGCAGTTCCTTCAGTGCTAAGTAATTTCTGTCTGTGAGTTGGCAGTCACTAGCCACGTTTACAACTAGTGAAACCTCCCGGAAAAAGAAAAAATCCAACCGGAAAGTGAAGCAAAATATTTAAAAAATTCTGCAAGTAGTTAAAATCCTAAACAATTTTGGGGAAATATAACCTCTGATTGATTTTTTTCATATATTTGGACATACACAGTTTTATTGAAAACTGTAACCTGGATGCCTGAATTAAGGCCCTGAATTAGTACTTCCATTAAAAAAGCATTAGGTACTCATGAAAATTTGTTTTTAAATAAAAGATAAAACTATGATCCTTGATAAGTACCTTTTAAACTTATTAGATTGTAGAACCAATACTTTTATTTAAAAAATGTCATGATGTTCACATTACTAACTATAAGCATTTTCCAAACAAGTTTAAGTATCAATACAGCACAAAATTAAAGCATTTTAAAGAAACGAGATAATCGGAATCTATTATTTAGCAGTAAACTATCAGAGTTTGAATAACTAAAGTGATGTACTAATACCATTACTCTGAAGACTAAATTCCAACTTATGACCATGTAACAGCAAAAAATGGTTTTATTAAGAGGAATAAACAGAGACAAGGAAAAACAATAAAAATAAAAATCAGATAGTGCAACTTACTTTGCCTTTATACTTTTCCAGAGAAACAGGTCTTCCTTTTGCATCCTTCACTTCAAAGGCATAAAAGCTGTTGATTTTAGGTTTGAGGAATTTTAGTTGTAGAAGAAATAGTGTTACTGTGCATAGAACCATAGACAGCAAAACTGCAAATACCTTTCCTCTGGGCCCGGAACATTTTAGCGGGTAAGCTGCAAGAGGCTCCATGTTGGAGGATTCTAGAGGGAAGTCTCAGCAGCCTGGAATTCAAGGAGGAGCTGAAACTTGAAACCGGCTTAGTTTAACAGAAAACCAGGAAGGGCAGACTTACTGCTTTCACTACTAAGGAACAGAAAGACCCCTTCTCAGGGGGGCATGAAGCGAAACTCCCAAATGAAGCAAGGAGCTCTACGGAATTTCAAAATATTTGTAGTGTAATTATAATTTTTGTTAGAAAAATCAGGACATTTTGGTAGGTCTTTGACACTTTCCCTACAAAGAAAATATTTCTCCAGAAGATGGTGCTCTTCTAACTTGAAAGCTATGGAGGGCTCATCCCCATGTTAAGCATCCTGTGTATTTATTGAGCAACAGTTTGGATGCAGCAGATGGAGTACAATGCCCAGGAATAGTTTAGAATGTAGATGAAATGTGACCTACTCATATGATGTACAGCTTGAAGGACGTTAGTATTACATGTATGGGTTAAACATGCTATATGATATCAGGAAATTTGTAGTGGAAAGAAATATCTGAAAAGGCTATTTGCCCTGACATCATCTAGCTAAGGCAATCAAATACTAGGTGAATAGAGTCAAAATAAATGTATTAAAAATTGTAAAGGTGTTAAAAAAAACCCCTCTCTATCAAAAAGCAAACTATAATCCAATGTTTTTCAAATTTCTGATCATGACCCCCAGTCAACAGTGCACTTTGCAACATAACTGAGTACAAACACACACAACTGAGAAACAATACTTGTCCTTGGAACTGTGATGCACCCACACCTGTTGCATTTTTAAACAACCCACTTCTGACATATCAAAATGATAGGTCTCCCAAAGGGCTGGGATTACAGGTATGAGCCACTGTACCCAGGCTAATTGCTTTGGTTTTTGTCTTTATTTTCCCCCATTGGCTGTTGCCTTGTATAGGGGGCCTAACTTTGCTGTTGCTAATGGTCATGAATTTTAGGAGTAGGTATAGGGAGGAAATTGAGGGCTGCATATCCTAAAAGCCATTCACTTTAAATTCTGCTCTGTGTAAGACAGCAGGTTCTGGGTGAAGGTGCATTGTTCCCCTTGATCACGATGTGTTTCCAGAAAGTGCAGGGAATGAGCTGAGCTGCTTGTGGAGTGCCCTTCCTGTCGCTGTTAGCTTGCGGAGCTTTAGGGGGTGCTCAGGGTACTGCCTGCTCTTCTGGTGCCCGCTCTGTGGCGTGTGTGTTTTTGGGTGGCTGAGCAAAGCCCATAGCCTACTGTGTCAAACCTGTGAGAGAAGCCACTTGACTCCCACTCTCAGGGCCCAGTAAGAATGGAAACAATAGAAAAAGGAATGATTATGCAGACAGTATTCCCTTTTAAACATCATTCCTAGTAAAGAACAAAAATGTACATCAAATGTGTTGTATCACTTCCTGATAATTTTACTTCTGTGTTCTCTGGCTGAATCATTTAAAAAGCCGAACTCCTTGTGTTTATATGACATGAACACTGCTATGTTACTGAAGCTCTCTGGCCTTGCTCTCTAAGTGGGATCCAGGACCTTTGACATGACTACGGCCTGGGCATTTGTTAGAAACACAACATCTTGGGCCCCCCCAGACCTCCTGAGTCAGAATCTGTATTTTTACAAGATCCTCTCATGACACACACGCATGTTTCAGTTTGATAAACTTTAGACCTCAACCTATTTTTGGTTTTAGAGCAACAAGAATCTATGGTTTCTCTTTGTTTTCCATAGTGGATGTATTTCATGTCTCTATGAAAACACTAGATATTTTAACTCCTCAGGCTATACAAGTAAATAGCTCAGGAACATGCATTTTAAAAGTTAATTCATGGAATACCTGCTGTTATTTGAGCTGTGTAAACACAACCCATTCTATCTGTGTTTTGAGGTGGAAAGACAGAGTGGTTATCTCTGGCAGGGTTGCTGACTAACCATTGCTTAGGCAGGGCCCAATGGGTGATATTATTTTGATAAAATCATGGTGATAGTTTCTAGTCCATTGTTTTGTAAGTATAGAAACCCTTCTCAAGTGATCCATAGATGAATGTATTCGAAAAGGCCAACATTATGCTGTTACAAACTTGCATGTGATTGCTGAATAAGCCAGTTTTTACAACCAGAAACAATTTATGCAGCCCTGATGTGGAGGTTGATTTGACCACAAAATTCCATATCATATGAATACAACTTTGAAAACTTATGTGTATGTCTCTTGTCAAGGATGAAATCAGAACCAGTTTGTTAATTTAATGTTCCTAAGGCTTAAGAGCTTCAAATAATGAAGGTACGATATATAAATTGTCATACCAGCCCATTAACCAAACATTCAAACAGCACTTTGGAGAACTTGTGCACTGGACGGCATTGATGAACACAGATTTGGCCCTGGCCCACCCCCTGGCATGTCTCTTCTTTGTTTTGGCAGTCTTTCTCTGCACACATTTTGATATCATCATCTCTCAGCCTTCTGGGGATCTGCCATCATTGTTTCCATGTTCTGTCTATGCTAACACTATTCTCAGACTACAGATATATCAAAATGGCACATTTCTCTGTGAAAGGGGTAGTATGTTAGAAAAACCACCTGCACTCTTTCAGTAGATGAAGGAAGGCTTCCTATAGGAGGGGAAGAGATTGATGAGTTCTTGGCGAAGGCAGGAGAAGCTACTAGGTCAAGAATGGGATAAAGCAGTTGACTCAGTTATCAACCAACTCAGGCCCTGGAAAGGATACAAAGAGGGTGCAAGGGAAGGAGCCAATCTCACACAAATGTAAAATCAACTTTGGAAATATGAGAACACACATGAGACGGGGAAGAATTATAAGGCAGCAAATCACTGAGTGCTACATAAATGACTTACATTTTTAGAGAGTTTATACTGCACACAGTCTTCTTTAGTATACACATTATTTTCTTCACAATAATTCTTTGAAATGGAAGGAGTTAACTCAGCCAAGATCACAGAACTAGTGAATGGAGCAATGAAGAATAGAATTTTGAACTTTCAAGTTCATAACCAAAATTATTTCAACTTCATGAAACTGTTTCTGTGTAATAGGTAAATACATTTATGTAGAAGAAAACATGGTAGGTGAGATGGCTGTAGCACTCTGGTGGACTGGTAATCTGGTTTGGCTCCGTGTCCCCTCCCAAATCACACCTTGAATTGTAATAATCCCCAGGTGTGAAGAGTGGGACCAGGTGGAGATAACTAAATCATAGGGGCAGTTTCCCCTATACTGTTCTCGTGGTAGTGAATAAGTCTCATGAGAGCTGATGGTTTTGTAAATGAGACTTCTTCTGCACAAGCTTTTGCCTGCTGCCATGTAAGACATGACTTTGCTCCTTATTCACCTTCCGCCATGATTGTGAGAACTCCCTAGCCATGTGGAACTGTGAGTCCATTAAACTGCTTTCCTTTATAAATTACCCTGTCTTGGGTATGCTTTATTAGCAGTGTGAGAACAGACTAATTCAAGGGGTTTCATTCATCAGGAGACATTTTATTTTATAAGAAACCACTGTATAAGTGCCCAGAAAGGAGAGGGCATGGGGAACACCAACAAAAAGCTTGTCCATGTGTACTGAAGTTATCTGGAAGAGGCTACAGGAAGTCTGCAGAGCAGCAGATGATGGATGAAGAGTCTTAGTGAAGGTAGCATTGGCCAGCATGATGGAAGGAAGTGGGTGGGTGCTAAAGATGCTCTGTAGACCCTGCAGGCAGCTGCTGGTAATGAAGATAAAGTATGATGTTTACCTGAAAATGACCTTGACAGTGTGTGGGTCATATTGCCCACTAGGGTGGGAGGGCACTGAAGGTTCAAACATGAGAAGATGAACATTTTGGTCTTCATGACTAATTTGAAACAGTACTGAGACCCTAAATTTGAGAGGTCTTGTGGACAGAATGCTGGGGTGTTGGGTTTGTGGTAGGTGGGAGGGGCACACACTCAGAGGTTAGGGAACGGGATTGGGGTATGGTTACCTGGGCTGCCTTTGCTACTTTTATCTTTGTCTTAAGGTTCTAGCAAGACTGGCATCACCAGCAGGTTTTTTCTGGCATGTCTAGATTTTTCCCACCCCCTGGATATTTGTGTGTCAAATTGTCACTAGATATATTTGTTTCTATTTTCTCAGTTGTTTCATTCTGCTACTTCCTGACCTTATTTTTAACCCCTCTGGGTTATTTTCTATTTATTTTTGGCTCTGGTGCTCTGAATTCCTCCTGGTTTAGTGTCACTAAGTTATGAGCTGTACAGGTAAACAAGCTGACCTGATGTGCTTGGAGTACTGAGTCATTCATACCTTTTCCCTTCTTTGTCTTACTTTTCTTATCTTCCTCTTCCTTTCTATTAATAAATACTTGAGTCATTCAAAACTATGCGACAGGCATTTCCTCAGCAGGAGATAGATCCTGGAACAGAAGTTTAAAAATACTGAAGATGAAATAGCACAATCTACAGCAGTATTTTCTTCACTGGCCATTGAAGGAATACCACCTCTGTGATTTTGCCATATCTGTATATCATTTATTTGTTCAACATTTTAATACTCATACTAACAAATGAGTATTTAAATACAAGTTGTTTTTCTCAAATTAATTTTTTATAAGGAAAACTTTACATTAAAACTGAAAAAATTTAAAATATCATTAAATACATAATTATTAATGTTAATCTATACCACTGTGAATCATATGTCCCTAGTGCAGGGACTGACAGATTTATACTTTATATTCAAACTGTGCTATCTTTCAAAGTTCTCTGAATTGAATCTACCCCTTCATGAGTCCTGGTTATATCATAGGGAGCAATATAAAGTAAGTTTTTCTTTTATTCATAAATGCATCCCTTTGTATATTTGAAGACAATTCCTTTGGATCTTCTTCTTCTTCTTCTTCTTTTTTTTTTTTTTTTTTTGTCATTTGAGACAGGATCTCACTCTTTCACTCGGGTTGGAGTGCAGTGGTGTGATCGTAGCTCACTGCAGCCTCGACCTCGTGGATCAAGCGATCCCTCCCGCTTCGCCTCCCAAGTAGCTG